AAAATGGAAAGTTTAAGAATCCTTAGTACCCAAATATGAATTGATATCATTAAAGAGTGAGAAGGTTTAAAACCTTAAAACCCCCTAAGTAGGAATATAAACTGCCGCACTGTGTAATTAAGAAGTTCTTACGCCGACTGCATATGCAGTGGGGATCAGATACATATGTATGTATGTATGTATGTATGTACATATCTAATCGAAAAAAGCTTGCATACTTCAAAGATGAAGTACAATTCATTTCAATGGGGTTGTGTTAAGCAGCGTTTGCATTGTTCAACTTTCACAGGCGATCAGTTCAATCAAAAGAACTTAAGTTGGCTGACGACCAACTTCATTGAAAGACCGTTGGCACTATTCAAGTTCAAAAGTTGATCAAAAAGTTGAACAATGCAAACACTGTTTTAAATTTAATAAATTAATAACCCAAACTCAATGAAGCCTGTGCAGAAAAAAACAGTGTGCGAAAACGACTTAAACCTTTTTAGTTAAATTTTTAGCATTGAACAAAAATAGATCTATGGCATTTTGATGAAACAACTTATTTTAATGATTTAGGCCATTTTCTCTTTAAAGCAATATTTCATTGGGTACCCAAACAATATTTTACCGGCGAATTGCCGTAGATCCACTTTTAATCGTTTTGAACGGGAGCTTATGCTTTTTTAATCCAAAGTGAATGGCAATAACAGTAAAATTCCCAGATAATGTACTTCCCGCATTCAAAAAAATAAAAATCGACCCGCTAATTATGTTGCGACGTGTAAACCAATTGATGAAATTCATACGAAAATCCCCTTATGGCTAATTTCGTTATCCGGATAATCGGATATTCGGAGTTTTTAATCAGATATTCGAATATTCGGATTATCCCGATATTAAAAAAAAATCCGGATACAACGTTTGCTTGCCTTACGACAAGAAGTTATGTCCGATGAGCAAATTGAAAAGAGTGATCAATTTGCAAATGAGAGATCGTATAAATATCAACCAAGCTCTAGTGACTAGAAATGCAGTGAAAGTTGCAAACCCAATCCCGAAAGAAGCAGAAGTGAATCATAAAGAGAGGAATCATAAGTAAGAGGTTAAAGAAGGCTTAGAACCGTAAATATTTTTGTGGAAGGTTGCCACCTGCTTGAAAATTTTAACTTAATTTAATTATTAAATATTGCAATATGGGTACCAACCTGCACAGCTTTGGGAAAAAATTACGGCCGCAAATATTTTTGAGGGGGAGTTGGCACTTGTTTGAATATTTATATTTAATTAAATTGTTTAAATAAATGAAATATTACAATACAGGTACCAAACTAAAGAGGGTTAAGAAAGTTTACTATAGAAAATAATTTTGAAGCGGGTTACCACCTATGTATTTGAAACATTTAATTCAGTTAAATGATGATCGCAAAAAAATACAGAAAGGTTTTTTCTTAACAGTGGTCGCCCCTCAGCAGGCAATGGCAAACCTTCGAGTGTATTTCTGCCACTATATCAAGGCGCACGCCACAAATCGAAGGAGAAGCACGGCCAAGCACTAACATAATGTGTAGGCGCCAATCTATTATTATTATTAAATCGATGAGATAAGCTAAATGTTACAAAACTAGCAAATGCCCCGCGTGCTTCGCTGCGCGCTGTGTTTTAACTCCCACCCAAAGTCGTATGGCCTCATTTATAAAATATGTATATTCAAGGAGTTTTATGAAGTAAGACTTTCAAAAACAAATTCGATCTATGAACTCGATTATATTTTTTTTGTTTAGGGTAGGTGTTAGTTAATATATTTTCGAAGGTAATCAAAAAATATATAAAACATCGACTTTCTCCTAGAAATCTAATTTATATTATTAAAACTCTTTTTAAATACCGTCTAATTTGAAAAAGTTCTGCCTACTTTACAAATACTAGGTTAGGTTAGGTTAAGGTGGCAGACCCGCAAAGGGGACTCACTTAGACATTTGATTGTCCATTGTGATACCACATTACATAGGAACGGTAACTGCGTAAAAATTACGAGAAGCGCTGGGTGCTCATAATGAAGTTCTTCAAACAGCTGATGTCCACTCCGGAGAGTCCCTCGGGAGTGTCGATGAAATGCGCACCGAGATGCTTAAACCGTAATCTAGCGAATGCCGGGCAGTTGAGTAGGAAGTGCTGAGATGATTCCACCTCGTCCTCCAGGCAACTGCGGCAGTAGGGATCCGTGACGAAATTGAGTCGCACCGCGTGGGTTCCCATTGGACAGTGTCCGGTCAGTACACCTGTGAAAATCGAGAGCTGACGCTTAGCCAGCTGCAGTAGTTCCCTTGACCGCCCGCGGTCCACAACCGGCCAGAAGGACCTTGCAACTCTGCAAGTCGGGGTTTTTTCCCAGCGCTCGCTGAGCCGACCGTGAGCCCATCTGTCCAAAGCAGGCCGCAGGTTGCCAACGGAACTCCAATGCCCTCCCTGTCCGAGGTGATGGCCTCAAGGGTGCCTTGCCTGGCCAGTTCATCAGCCCTGCAATTTCCCGCGATATCACTGTGCCCCGGGACCCAAATCAGCTTGATCTGGAAGTACTCCGAGGCAGTTGAGAGAGAGGTCAGGCATTCCCCAACCAGTTTTTAACACACCATTAGCGATCCCAGCGCCCTGATTGCCGCTTGGCTATCAGTATATATATTTACCCTCCTTTTTGACAGTACATTGGTGCGTAGCCAATCGGCTGCCTCCTTTATAGCGGCCACCTCTGCCTGAAAGACGCTGCAGAGATCCGGCAGTCTGAAAGTAAGATCTACTGAGAGTTCCTGACAGTAGACACCTCCTCCAACTCTCCCTTCCAGCTTCGATCCGTCCGTAAAGATGTTTATTGGACCCCTTCTCCAGAGACTACCCCTCTTCCATTCATCCCTTGAGGGGATGTGCGTGGAGAAGGATCCTTTAGGGGCCAGCCTCGGGTGACTCCGGTCCATTTCTCTCGGCACGAAGTAAATACTAAGTATTAACTAAATAATATTGAGGGAGTAACAAAACAAAACTACTTTTAAGGCGCTGCGAAGCACGCGGGGTATTTGCTAGTATTCTATGAGTTTGTTAAAGTTTTTATTTATAAACTCGTTTATTTGTATTTTATTTATAATAACAATCATGTTAAGAAGATTACCATTACTGTTTTATATGATTTATGTTCCTAAACATATTTACATACATATGTGGTAAGTATGATAATAAAAATAATTGAACTTTCTTTAAAATAATGGCGTTTTCTTTTTTTTTTTTGCCCTCTCAGTGCCCTCTACGCACAATTTCTAAGGAGAGGGCAATGAAAATCTAATTTTTTTGTTTCGAAAAGAAAACGCCAAAACATAAATGTATTCGTCTATTGAACTAAATGAACTACATATTTGAACTAAAGAACTAGTTCATTAAGATGAACGAACTACAACTCAAAAGAACTAAAGTGCCCAACTCTATTATGTACATTGTATGTATGTATGTTCAGCACTCCAACACGCCGCGATTGAACAGCCACGGCAGGACAGCCTCAGCGTGCCTTCGAAATCTGGCGCTGGTGTACATTTGCTTCTTAAACTCATCCCCAGCTTCGCTTTCCCCGACTATGTCTACGATATTCGCTTTGTCGGTGGGATCCAACAATACGGCGCCCATAACACTAATGATTGTCGTATAAGCTTTAAAGATGCGCATTGAAGCAAAGTCTTGTTAGGTTTATTTTACAGTTACTTACCCCAAATGGTGGTTCTGTGTAAAAGTATGTGTAGATCTTTCAGTTTTGGTATTTGC